CGTGGTAGTGGGCGGGGGTGGGGGGGGAGAGGAGGAAGGGACATGGTGGCCCCAGGGTTGTTCAACAAAGCAGCTAATAGCCTGGGACAGCAGTTTGCAACCTTTTTCCATTTGCAGAGCCCTAAACAATTTCGAATGGAGGTGGGGACCCCTTTGGAAATCTTAGATGTAGTGTGTACCACCCCACCCCCCAGGGATCTGCAGACCACTGGTTGAAAACCACTGGTCTGGAGGACGCTTAGCCCCCCAGCCAGGCGAGACAATAGGTTGCGGGGCATAGGGCTCTATGCTGGGCCAACAGCTTTTTTAGCACTGAAATGAGCCACAGCTTGGTTTTAGAGAGGTGCATGGTACCGCCTGCACCAGGGAAGACCTCCAGGGCAGTACCCCTGGTACATTTTCTACTGCCAGCATCTTGGGATGAATCTATTGCCAAGAAGCATTTCTTTGGTGGGAAGTGGGAGGCTCTGTGGTCGTGGAGCCAGACCTTCTGAGGTCTGCCCCGACTCTGCTGTTGACTGGGTGGGTGGCCTTGGGCAAAGCACTTCTCCTCTCTGGCCTTGGGGTTCCGCAACTGTGCAAGGGGGAGACTGTTGCAGGGGGTGTTGAGAGCCCCAAGTAGTAATGCGCTTGCCCAACACCCTGGGATTAATTCAGGACCTATGTAAAGTGCTTTGAGATCTTTGCATGGAGGACACCAGCACAGGGCAAAGCCTCAGTGAAGGTTTTTAATAATAATAACAACATTATGTTGACTGGGACTGAATAATTTGCCTGCTCTGTGGGGTTTCTAAGAATAAGAAATATTCCTACAATAAATGCAGTGCCTCAGTCACCGTGGGTGTACATTGGCACAGAGCCATTCCAGTCAATGTGGGAGGACATCTCTGCAAGGTGCGTCTTTGGAAAGGGGCATTGCTCCCGGTCATGGGGTGGACTGGGTCCGGAAGCCCCCTGCTGGAGGCCTTGCAGCCCTGCCTCACCCTACCCCACAAAAGGGCAGTAGAAAGGTCCTCCAAGCTGCCTAGAGCGGCTGTGTGAGATGCAGCTAATCAGGGCCCAGCAGGCTAGTATAAGAAGAGCTGCAGGGATAGCATGAGTCTGAACTTGCTAGAGTTAGAGGAGGATGGATGGTGTTGCTGGGACTCCATCAGGACAAGGCCTTGAGGTAAGTGTGAAGAATGAACAGAGGATGTGGGGAAGTGATTCAGGGAATTGTAGAAGTGATACAGTTTATTTAAAGGGATTTGGTGGATGGCTGCTATCTATAGGGTCCCTGGGCTGGGACCTGGAGTAGAAGGTGGGCCTGGGTCCTCCTCACTAGCCATTGGGAAAGTGGGCTGGACTTTGATACATCCCTGAAGGGGAAACTGAATTCTTTTAGTGGCCCAGGCGAAGGGCTGGAAAGGCCCAGAGAGGCAAAGTGCCTCCAGTGAGGGAGCCCTGGGGGATGTGGTCTCGCATGAGGGCCAGGATTTCTGGAAGAGCAGGGACTACTTGAGAATGCCCAGAAGGGGCTGAGACAGTTCAAACCAAATTACTGTAATAGGCCCTGCTGGACTGATTAAGGAGTGAGCTCAGGAATAGGGCTGCAGATAAAGAGACATTACTGAGGGCTTTGAGATAGGCCAGGTTGCACTTGTGTCCTGGAAAGGGTTTGATTGTGGTTAACATAAGAATGGCCATACTGGATCAGACCAAAGGTCCATCCAGCCCAGTATCCTGTCTACTGACATTGGCCAATGCCAGGTGCCCCGGAGGGAGCGAACCTAACAGGTAATGATCAAGTGATCTCTCTCCTGCCATCCATCTCCACCCTCTGACAAACAGAGGCTAGGGACATCATTCCTTACCCATCCTGGCTAATAGCCATTAATGGACTTAACCTCCATGAATTTATCTAGTTCTCTTTTAAACCCTGTTATAGTCCTAGCCTTCACAACCTCCTCAGGCAAAGAGTTCCACAGGTTGACTGTGTGAAGAAGAACTTCCTTTGATTTGTTTTAAACCTGCTGCCTGTTAATTTCATTTGGTGGCCCCTAGTTCTTAAATTATGGGAACAAGTAAATAACTTTTCCTTATTCACTTTCTCCACATCACTCATGATTTTATATACCTCTATCATATCCCCCTTAGTCTCCTCTTTTCCAAGCAGGAAAGTTCTAGCTTCTTTAATCTCTCCTTATTTGGGACTGTTCCAACCTCCTAATCCTTTTAGTTGCCCTTCTCTGAACCTTTTCTAATGCCAGTATATATTTTTTGAGATGAGGAGACCACATCTGTATGCAGTATTCAAGATGTGGGTGTACAATGGATTTATATAAGGCAATAAGATATTCTCAGTCTTATTCTCTATCCCTTTCTTAATGATTCCTAACATCCTGTTGGCTTTTTTAACTGCCGCTGCACACTGCATGGATGACTTCAGAGAACTATCCACGATGACTCCAAGATCTTTCCTGATTAGTTGTAGCTAAATTAGCCCCCATCATATTGTATGTATAGTTGGGGTTATTTTTTCCAATGTGCATTACTTTAAATTTATCCACATTAAATTTCATTTGCCATTTTGTTGCCCAATCACTTAGTGTTGTGAGATCTTTTTGAAGTTCTTCAGTCTGCTTTTGTCTTAACTATCTTGAGTAGTTTAGAATCCTCTGCAAACTTTGCCATCTCACTGTTTACCCCTTTCTCCAGATCATTTATGAATAAGTTGAATAGGATTGGTCCTAGGACTGACCCTTGGGGAACACCACTAGTTACCCCTCTTCATTCTGAAAATTTACCATTTATTCCTACCCTTTGTTCCCTGTCTTTTAACAAGTTCTCAATCCATGAAAGGATCTTCCCTCTTATGTGATGACAACTTAATTTACATAAGAGCCTTTGGTGAGGGACCTTGTCAAAGGCTTTCTGGAAATCTAAGTACACTATGTCCACTGGATCCCCCTTCTCCACATGTTTGTTTGACCCCTTCAAAGAACTCTAATAGATTAGTAAGACATGATTTTTCTTTATAGAAACCATGTTGACTTTTGCCCAACAATTGATGTTCTTTGGTGTCTGACAATTTTATTCTTTACTATTGTTTCAATTAATTTGCCTGGTACTGACGTTAGACTTACTGGTCTGTAATTGCCGGGATCACCTCTAGAGCCCATTTTAAATATTGGCATTATATTGGCTATCTTCCATTCATTGGGTACAGAAGCTGATTTGAAGGACAGGTTACAAACCGTAGTTAATAGTTCTGCAATTTCACATTTGAGTTCTTTCAGAACTCTTGGGTGAATGCCATCTGGTCTCGGTGACTTGTTACTGTTAACAGTTACTCCTCTAATGACACTTCAATCTGTGACAATTCCTCAGATTTGTGCCCTACAAAGGACAGCTCAGGTTTGGGAATCTCTCGAACATCCTCTGCCGTGAAGACTGAAGCAAAGAATTCATTTAGTTTCTCTGCAATGACTTTATCATCTTTAAGTGCTCCTTTTTCATCTTGATTGTCCAGGGGCCTCACTGGAGGTTTAGCAGGCTTCCTGCTTCTGATGTACTTAAAACACTTTATTACCTTTGAGTTTTTGGCTAGCTGTTCTTCAAACTCCTTTCTGGCTTTTCTTATTACATTTTTACACTTAATTTGGCAGTGTTTATGCTCCTTTCTATTTACCTCACTAGGATTTGACTTCTACTTTTTAAAAGATGCTTTTTATCTCTCACTGCTTCTTTTACATGGTTAAGCCACGGTGGTTCTTTTTTAGTTCTTTTACTGTGTTTTTTTTTAATTTGGGGTATACATTTCAGTTGGCCTCTATTATGGTGTTTTTGAAAAGTGTCCATGCAGCTTGCAGGGATTTCACTCTAGTCATTGTACCTTTTAATTTCTGTTTAGCCTCCTCATTTTTGCATAGTTCCCCTTTCTGAAATTAAATGCCCCAGTGTTGGGCTGCTGAGGTGTTCTTCCCACCACAGGAATGTTAAATGTTGTTATAAGATGGTCACTGTTTCCAAGCAGTCCTGTTATAGACTCATAGACTTTAAGGTCAGAAGGGACCATTATGATCATCTGGTCTGACCCCCTGCATGCTGCAGGCCACAAAACCCTTCCCTGGACTCTGTTGTTGAAGTCCCCAATCCTGTGTTTTAGTGACTTCAATCGGCAAAGACC